GTTTAATAACAAATTTACTAATAATAATGGGAAATAAAACGAATGTTGTTCAAATGAACGTGTAAACAAGAACGCCAAAGCTAAAATTATCTTGTCTCGGAGCTTACCGTTTTGGCCGCTTGGTGCGCTTGCAGTTTAAATAACTAGATGGATTTCACAGGGTCTAACGACACTTACAGTGTACGATAATTGAATTAACAAAGAAATCTAAATAAAAAATTTAGATAAATTTGGAACGAATACACTGAAGATGAATTTTTCGAGACAAAACGTCTGAATCTGGTTCGGGCTGAGGCAGTACAGGATTGGGGGTAATGAAGGCTTGCAAAAAATGTAATAAAATTTCTAGGGTGTATTTAAAAAAATGAAGTTAATGATGCTCCTGGAGAGACGAAACGTTTCATATAAAAATTGATTATGCCATTCGGTAGAGGGCAAAAAGTGGCCAAAAGAAAGTGTTCTTCTTTTTTCAATATCACCTCAAATAAGGCTGAAATTAAATAAAAACAGATTTCTAAAATTTCGTTTTTTTTTCAAATATTTCATAAACTAATCATGTTAGCCTTGATTTTTTAGAGTCATAATGTTGATTCCCTGATTACGCAACTTTGCCCCCATTTAAACTACTTCGTACCTCTTACCGTTTCCGAGATCCCTGTAGTGAGAAGCGAATTTGCAATAGCCTGTATAGAGCGTCCTATTAAAAAAAATCTCGGTAAATTTCTATTTACAAATTTTCGCCACGTTAACGCAGTCGGTCGAGAGTGCGGTGGCAAGCATTTCTCGGCCAGGCTTCCTATTCTGGTCCGGGTTTTTTCAAGTGTAGGCCCCTTCCGCAGAGCCTTTGGCTTTAGATTTGGGGGTTGTCTCATTTCTGTGGTGTGTTTTATGTTTACAAATAAAAAATTGATCTGTTTCAGCAATTTTTTTAAATTTGAACTGGAAAAGACATTTTGTTCCATCAATTTGGGACACAGTGTATATTGTAATTGTGACAGTTTTTTGACAAACTAACGAGAGTTCAAATAAAAACGTGGTCAAGTTGGTTCTGAAAATTTGGACGTAGGGCGTAGCGTATAGCAAATGAACTTAAACGTCATCTGTCAAAGCGCTATATCGCCGCTATCAATTTGAATATTTTCGTTTTAAAAAGCGTTTAAAATGGTGTCTTCTCAAGAACACAACAAGTGTTTATCATAGAGTCCTACTTTAGAAATGGACGCAAGATTGATGGAATATGGAAGTATTGTATTGAGGAATGTTTCATAGAATTTCAAAATCAATTTCCCGGCGTTGTTGAGTACAAAATTTTTCAAAGTGCAGTTCAGCGTTGTGTTAATGTTTTTCGTGAAACGGGCAGTGTAACAAGAAAAGAAGGAAACGGCCGACCTAAAAAGCGGACTGAAGAATTAAAAGAAAATGTCCAACAAATAATGGAAAATGCGCCATGAACTTCTGTACGTGTTTTATCACAAATGGTGGGAGTATCAGTCGGTACCTGCCACACAGTGTTAAAAAAAGATTTGCGTTTGTTCTCCTATCGTTTAACTTGTCAGCAAGAACTTCATGAAGTTGATTTTCCGCGACGGGCTGTATTTTGTGAATGGTTTTTAAACAACTACGGTGAACTTCATAATATCACCTTTTTTTCTGATGAAACCTGGTTTCATTTAAGTGGTTACTGGTTACGTAAACTCACAGAATATGAGAATGTGGTCTTCTGAAAAATCAGATAACTTTTTTGTCGAGGGCCCTCTACACGCTCAAAAAATTGGAGTTTGGAGTGCTCTCAATCGAAGGAGGATTTATGGACCTATTTTTTTTAATGGTACTCTTACTGCGCAAAGGTATAGAGAAGAAATTATCGCTCCTTTTGTTAACCAGCTGGAAGAAAACAAAATTACAAACTTTTACTTTCAACAAGATGGCGCAAGGGCACATACGGCAGGCGAGACGATGAATATGTTGAGGGAAGTTTTCCAAAATCGACTAATAAGTCTCAATGCTGAACATGAATTTCCACCGAGGTCGTGTGATATTACGCCGTGTAGATTTCTTTTTGTGGCTTTACCTTAAAAACACTATTTTTGAACTGCCTATTCCTGATTTAAACCATCTGCAGGCTCGACTTATAGACAAGATTCGTGAAATTAACAATACCCCGAGCATCTTAGAAAATGTCTTTAATTCTTTGAGGAACAGGTGTGAAAAGTGCTTGGAACAAGGAGGGGGACACTTTCAGCAGCTGCTTTAATTTATTGTTATAACAACAACAATTATTCTTTAAAATAAAGTTATATAGTCATTAACGTTATTGAAACTGACAGCTGCTATACAGCTCGTTGAGAAATGAGGTTAAGTTGGTCGCTATAAGCTACTCCCTACGTCCAATGTGTCAGAGCCAACTTCGACCACGTTTTTATTTGAACGCTCGTTATATTATATTAATTTTTAAGGGGTTTCTATGAACTTTTTCTCTTCTTTTCGGTTGTAGAATGCACTGGTCGGCTAATTTCAAGACACCCTGTATTAGTAGTTCGTAGTATCACATTAACTTGCATAATAAATATAATGTATGTGTAAGGATCCTAACTTGAACTCATCTCGAACGTAATTGCCCATCACCGATATTGACAACATAAATGTAGCAATAACTTGCCCAATTTACGAGTTAAGCACGTCATTTTTATCTACAACTCCAGCGGCGCTCGTAGACCAGTCCGTAATAAAATTATTATTTATTTTCATATTTAATAGATATTTAATACCGATACGGCTTTGTGAAATCTTTCGCGCACCCGGTTGGTTGCCAAAAACAATTGTGATTCAGTTCCGTTAGCCTGGATTCCGCTTAAAAATAGCGCTGCAGATTTTTCGCGTTTAATGCACAAATGAGAAAGGTTCACGCTGCCCCGAAAATAAACTGGAAATAATTCAGTAATTAAATAAATAACGCGTCAATTTCGCCGTAAAACATTCGGGACCCACTGTATCGTAAAAGTCCAGTTTTAGATTTATTTCGTGTAACAAATATTATTGATTGCGTTTTGTTTGCGCAGGTTACAGGGTCGGATTTAGGAGAGGTCTCTACCGCAAAAAAAGTAAAGCTGTAGGCCACTACAGTGTCCGGAAACTATGTTCCTATAAATTTTGTATTACCATAACCTCAAAATTATTTTTTTAAATTAATATTTTGCCATAATTTTCATTTGGACAAAGCAGTATTTTTTATTTGATACACTGATAACAAACCGCACCTGCGAATTGAATTATAAGGCATATGGCGCTAAAATGGAGATAATTGACTACTGAATAGATTATAACTTTTTTATTTCTCGAAAAAAATAAATAAGAATATTAAAAAACATAGACCAAAAATTATTATAGATTAATTGTGTTAAATACAGTTGTAAGAGCAACACAGACACGTGTTGTAGGAAGAAAATAGTGCAATCCTGAAATAATAGACCAGGAAATTTAGCCTGAAAATGACCATTTCGGGCATAATGCTCATAAGTGCCTGATTTTTTGTGAGAAGGTAGAAAAAGTGGTATATAACAACATATCTTTACACGTAAAAAATCAAAATATACCATTTTTGTTTAGAAGCCATAGAAACTGTGATTTTAGTGATATTTCACGATTTTAGCTTATAACTTTTGTCCGGACGATTTTACTGTAAAAAAGTAAAATTCTTTTTTGTTTGTCTTTTCAAGACGAACAAAACGAGCCAACGTACGAAAAAAAATATTGATCCAGTCAAAAATTATTAATAAAAAACAATTTTTTGCAATTTAAATAAACATTAATAAAAAGCTTATTAATAACAATGATGTGTATTGCTTATCTCCAACTATTCATTTTTACTGACGAATAATCTGTGCGAATGCTGGAAACCGTAAGTTGAATATTTCTCGTAATTTCCACTCCGTATAAAAATGTGTGGATGAAATTGTACAAAAAAATCTACATATTTAAAAAACCGTGTAGTTTATTTTTTTATTTCCAAATTTAAAGAACAGCTGTATTTATACAAGGTTCTACCTCCACAAGTATATAATATAAACCCGATATTGCCAAACCAACTTGTCTTGTACTGACAATATATTTATGTATTTAGGTACTTTTTATATCTATTAACACTAAGTCGGTCTAATTGATTACTTAAAAATGTATTTACGTAGAAATCACATAGCAGTTGTCCAAATTTTACTAAAGAGTTTGAAAAAATATACAGGTAGATTCGGAATTCTTAGAAAATACAGAAAAAAAATACTGAATTGTTTTTTGTCATTGAAATATAGAAAATATTTTCCGTGGTAAAAACAAATATATTCTAAAATCGGCTGCAGGTGTTATGGTCACTCGCCAAACATTTGTCAAACATTAATGTGGCGAATATTTGTAGATTGTTTGGTCATAAAGTACTTACCAATGTCCTAAGGTCATTGTGTATGCTTGCCATTTTCATTTTCACGAATGTACAGAGCAATACACGGTGGAACTTGTACAATGTGTTGGTAGCGGTGTCGTACATACATTCAGACGGATCCTGTGATGCGTTTTTATTTACCGCAAAACATCACATACTGAATAACATTGACTTATTGAACAGCTCGAACGGTATGCCTTGTCGAATATTTGGCAAGTGAAGATATACTTTTGAATCTATTGATGTGCACCAATAACACCATGCAGCATTTGTATAAGTTTGAAAAATATGTGTACATACTCCGGCAAATTTACATACATACCATAAACATCCGAATCACACTACAATTGTTTACATTTGACAAATATTTGGCATCACCTGGAGCCAGCTTTATGAATATCTTGTGGATTGATGAATTTAAAATTTCAGTAATTTAAACGAGTTCTATCTTGAACTCTTTTTATTGTTATTCTAGAGCATCACTCTCACGCGATGAATCAAGTTTGTACCACCTCATTAAAGCTTCAAACACAATACTGAACTGATTTTCAGATTTCCTCCTCTCACCATCTATAACTCTGATAAAATTATGCAACTACAAAATATTAAATAAGAACATAGTGTAGTGTTTTACTTCAAAATACGCCGAATCTGACTTTACTGACAATGAACGTACGAGGACCCCGCCAGAATCTTAAAAAGAATATATAAACTTACTTAAAAGTGTCTAAAAGCCGCGATGATCGATTGGGTGTCGATAGTGCGTCACTCCCACAGGAGGTTCTCGAATTACATGTACGGCGTGCCTAGCAAAGTTCGAAAGCGTCGGCAAAAGTTCATCAAGAGGCAGCAGCAGATGCCTGGCAACGGGGCTGCCGCCGGTATGCCGCACGGATCCAAATGCTCGTGTTGTTGGGCAGGCGATAAAGTGCAGGTTAGTAGATGTGAATGTACCATAGTATATATTTCAGAAAAATGTACTGAACATGTACTTAGGCTTAGGTTTTTACGGATAGCAAGAAAACTATTTTATGGAGCAGTATAATAATAGTTTAATTTTTCGTTGGCGACATTATTATAGGAATAGTCAAATAACACAAGCTAAGAGCAAAAATGCCAATATAGAACACTGTTCTATTAACAACTACTTTAAAGTGGCTTCACTTTTACTTTGTTTTACTTCGAGAAGTAGTCTGTTGCACAATTTAAGTCCAAAATAGAGAGTTAGCAGTTATTTTTATTCTAGAAAATAGGATATCTAGTATTGTACCTGCGAAATGAAGTGAGTAAGATTATCCTGTATGGTACTACACTTATCTTGTTGCTCACGAATTATGTCTGTGGCATTGTCGATGGCTTGCACTAGATCTTGTTTACTGTAGCGTGTATTCCCACAGAAAAAATCTATCGGAGGTTTTCGTCGTCCATGTTTCCTGTTAGTTTAAATTTATCAACATCATTTTGCGTTAATTCCAGCAGAATTGCATTTTCTCAGGTGCCCAGCAAGACATTTTCTTCTGCTAGTCCTCTTGCAATGCCTCCACGGACTGATAAATACATAATCCTTTGTAACGCAGTGTTTGGCGAGTTATAAAATTACTAATAACACACCTCTGTGGTGAAATTTACGGTCATACTCATTCGCATGCACATAAATTTTCCCTTATAAGTGCTGCATATCATTATTATGTGACAATATTCTTAAGGAGTAATAGTTACCACTGTTACACTTTTGCATCATGTTCTTGTTTGACACGTCACTAATTACAAAACAAATGCGAGTGTCAGAAACACACTTACACGTAATACACTGGTCTATCTTTACGATAATGTCGGACTTACTTAACTTTTGCATATTTCAGAGATAATATTGATCCCAGGGGGGACTATATACAACATTTATCATCCCTGTTGTTCACAAGCGCCGTAATGCACGAGGCTCCTGTATTTGTATTGTAGCTAAAGCCCCAGTGCAGCTTCTGGCGCAACCTGCATTCAACTTATCTCTTTAGACAATAAATCATATGAGCTTACCAGAGAATTAGAAGTAAAGCTGGCAAGGAATTGTTGGAGAGAGGTGAAATTAGTACAATTTGCAGACGCCAGAAGCGTTTAGGGCAAAGCTTGGGGCAAAATCCCCATTGCCAACCTTAGAACAGTATAAATTTTCTATATTTAGATTTTTATGCAAATAATTAATTTCCGTAAATTTTTTATTATTTATTAAACAGTAAACCCAGCATTTTGGCTTAAATCTTTATAGTTCTTTTTTTTTTTTCAGGAAATCCCAATTTCTGGGTTTCCTGCAGTCAAAATAATTTGCTTGGTTTAGCCGCTAGAGGTCATCAAAATTGACAAATTTTTTTTTTTTTTCAAGTAACTAATACGCCTTGTAAGATTTTATCTAAATTATAAGCGTACTAAATCCCAAACAGATTCGAACATATTTTAATGTCTTGACTTCCTGTATGTGAGCGGTGACAATTTTGTTGCAGAAATCCCGCTACGCGGAAGAGGACATGCCGCCCCCGCCGTCGCCGCCCCATCAGGTCGCCCCGCACGACGCCGTCTCCAGACAGGGGTCCCTGGATAGGGGAGGCCGCAGGAGGAGCTCGGTGGAGAGGGAACAAACCGCGAAAGAGGTTCACATGCAGGTGAGTGCTCCAGTCCAGACCATTCTAATATGCTTTGTGGTGTGACACAGGCGTTACTTCAGATCTAGGAAGCGCCGATTACCGTCGCATTTTTTAAATGAAATGCGGTTCAATTGTGAGCGAAAATTCAGAGCGTTCGGGTATATTTAAACATTTAGTTTGTCACGTATTTAAATGTATAGGGTGATTGGGAATTTATCCAAAAAAAAAAAATTTTAAATGTACAGGGGGTTCTTGCAAATACAGTTCTGTAAAAAAAAATCGAAAAGTGCAGTTCAAAAATTATTTAAAAATAGGTCCACTTCTGCACAGCACTGGAAACTGGTCCACTGTAAAACGTAACCTTGCGCAAGTCAATGCATTAAAGAAGAAAAAAATTAAAGAATTTCTTTCCGAAGGAAAGAAATAAATAAAATTTTATAACACCAATATTATATCAGCAAATTCAACTGCTTTTGCCGCTATTGTTATTATTAATTAATAAAATTAATTTGTGATTTTAATCAATAAAATAATTTGACATATCTGATGTCCATTTTCTGCGAACTAACACAAATGTTGTCTTGCTTCACCATAAATTAAAATGATATCCATTATCTCCGAGTTGTTATACACCTAAGCCATTTTTGACGCTTGAAAAACTAATGTAAACACTATCACAAAAATGTTAATACTAAAATCGGATTTCGAAATCACCTAGGCCACGTAGCGAGAGAGCGCATTGCGTACAGCTTACAACGAGAATGACGCTAGAGACTGCAGTAGCCAAATGATGTAGGGGTTGTAAATACTACAACTTCAATAATTTTTTTCTCGAAAACTATTGACTCCATTTTTCATGACGCAGCTTTTCCCAATTTTTTTTGGATAAGTTGTAAATCACCCTGTATACAAGATGCTTTAGTCATATAAGCTGATTACGAACCTGGAATTTTTTTGTATGGAGATAGGGGATTGATAAAAGAAAACGGCTTCTTTTATCAATCCCCTATCTCCATAGAAAAAAATTCCAGGTTCGTAATCACCTTATATGGCACCTAAAATTTACCTCAGTAAAAATTGTCTGGGAATGGCAAAATATTTTTTTCGAAGACTATCATAACATGTAGACGTTTTAATTTTGTTTCTTTTGTCAAAAAAAAACTTAGTTTAAAGAACGAAAAAACTTTTTTTCTTTTAAAACAAAAAATCTTTTTTCATAAATCTGTCACTTATTAATATAATTGAAAAAGCTTCAATAATGTGATTACTGCTACTGCAGGTCAAACTAATAACTTACTATTATTTTCTTTATTCGAAAGTTGCATTGGCAATTTACTTATTTCGATTATTATTTCTTTAAGAAAAATATTGTAAATACGAAAAGTTGTAATGTTTTTCAGATTTTTTAATAAAAAAAAGTTGAACTGTAAGAAGGGGTTTTAGTGATAGTAGCAGTTATATAGTAAAGTAGTTCCAACCGTTAGACTGTTCCAAAGTAGCTGTCCCAAATAGCATTACCTAAGTAACGATTCCTAAGGAACGGTTATTAAGTAACAGCTCCAAAGTAATTGTTACAAAGTACTGGTTCCAAGGTAACGGTTGTAAGGAGCGGCTCGAAAGTAACAGTTCCATATTATATCTAGTTCCTAATGACGATTCCGAGTGACTATTCCAAGTAACGATTTCAAAGCAGCGGTTCCACATAACTGTTACTTTATAATTGCTATTACTTTGTAACTGTTACAAAGTAACGGTTATAGTAACAGATGCAAAATAGAGATTACAAAAGGGGTTTTCGGGAACAGCTGTTTTCGACTTTAAGGATGTTTCGGAATACGGATAACTATTTCCGAATGGAACAGGAACAAACCGTCTGACATCAAAGACAACCATACATTTTTGGTGCATTATTCTACGATTTAACACAGAACAAAGTATTTAATAAAATGGACAGGTTTATTGTGCTAATTTTGAACTGAACACTGAACAAACCAACGAACTGTAAAAAATTTTATGTTTAGATAAAACCACTGATTTATCAAAAATGTTTTCGAGTTCAAGGAATCAGAACGTGTGATTATTAACCGGTTCCGATCACAGTTGCTGAAAATCCCTAAAGTAACAGATAGATAGTAGTGCTCACAAAGTAGCAGTAATTAGGTAACAGTTACAAAATTGCGAGTACAAAATAACAGTTACAAAGTAGCAGTGTCAAATAAGCTGTTACTGAGTAACAATAACAGTCCAGGTATCTGTAATTGAAGGTTTTACAACCATTTACAGGAACAATTTTCCAATTTCCTATAGTATTGTCCTTTTTCTTGTTTTATTAATTGAAAATTTAAGCTCTTAAAAATGTATATCCAACTAGAAATGGGTAAAAATAATCGTTTCTCTCTGTCGAATTAAAACTTTACAGTTTTGTGACTATCTTGTGTCATATTTTATAATTCTGGTAGGTAAATTAGGTATCATAGAAAAATTCAGTATAATTTATAGAATCCATGCATCAAAAGGTAACTTTTTGAAAACATTCTGGGATATCAGCGCAGACTTCAGCGATATTTCACAAAACCAGTCTGGAACATTTATCTAAATTATGTCTTCGGTTACCTAGAGTTGGGAAAATCGCCAAGAGTCTTTTGAATTCGGCGATATTTCTCGCCCTTTAACCATTGAGCGGTGCCCAACTTTACGTCAGACTTACCTTCTCTCATTTAGCTTTTTCCAAGAAAAGATTAACATCTATCCTTAAAAAATGTATCCCCTAGAAGCGTAAACAATATACAATTCACATATTTATTTATATCTGTATAATTTCAAGTACTTAGACCATGCAAAAACAATATAATATAACTTTTAATAATACAATAGTATCTATAAGGTTTTCTGTGTTAACAAAAGGTTGTTGTTTTTTATTTTCGTACAGTTCTGATCCTAGTGAAACAGGTCACAGATATAGAAATTTAAGAAAAATTGAACTTTTATTACAAGCCAGGATATAAGATACATTTAATAAGAATAACATTTAGGAATTATGTTAATTAGCAAATTTTCAGACCATCCGCTTTTAGAGGAAAATACGTATTTTTCATATGTTTAGGATATAGATAGACTTTAAATATGAAGTGAAGTTACAAAATAATGCTTTTATAACCCACTCTTTTAGTTTCCATTCCTGCGGTTTGTGTTAAAACACAATAAAACATGTTGATTATTCACTTCTCTTCGGTATCTTGAAAAGGGGACCTTCTCGGAATTAAGCGAGAGGCCCTAAACATAGCCAGCCCGACACTGGTTCTGATCTGTTCTGAGTATGATACAGTAGCACAATCAAGACTTTCGTCTGGGTAGTATAAATATATCTAAACAAAAATGTTTACTCAGAGAATGTAACGCCAATGAGGTTAAAAATAAAATCCCTGAAAAAACATTCTCACAACACAAATTGGTATGATGAAAAATACAACCGAGATTTATCTTTACCTTCGCTAGAAGTAGAAAAACTCGACGCGTTCAATTAGTCTAAAACGTTCTTCAATGTAGGTGTTGGTCTCGCTAGAACAGACTTGTCGGGGTAGTAGAACGAAGCTGGTAGAAATAGAATGATTTCACGGCATCCTGGTACATGTAACTTTTGATAAAGTAAAATGGAACATCTGGCAGACATACTACGAGTTTATTTTGTAAATTTGCCAATGTTTTCTTGTTTGAAATCTGTGGGATCCAGTTTTGTAATATTATGATAAATCAAACACATTTGAAGTAGGATCCAAAAATGTTGAATATAGTGTAGACATTAATATAAAATAGTCGTGTTTATTTTTTAAATGATTTTAAGCCTTGCTCTAACGCAGTTGTATTTACGATTTAGTCAATGGACTTAAATACAGGGTGGCCAAATGAAGACGAAACAGAGCCGTTTTCAGGAACTGCGTCAAGATTGTAGAAAAACGCTCAGACCCGTCGATTTTAGATTAAAGTGGGACATTCTTTGCTGGTATTTTTTTAACTCCGCCACTTTCACCCCCAAGCAAGGGTAAGCATCACCCCAAAATATTTAAATGGCATTGGGGGTTGAGTAATATTTCTTTTGAAAGCTCTTACAATTCTCTTTACAACAGACTTTAAATTTTATAATTCCGCCCAATACTTTGAAAAAAATTTACATTTTAAAATTTAAATTATGTTTAGTTGCTTACTTACTACTTAGTTGATTAAATGTTCAAACTGATGACCGCCCGCTTCCATACAAGAATAAAGATTTTGTTCGAAACGTTCGCGCACATTCCGAAGCATTTCCGGAGTGATTCGACGGCATTCGTCGACGATTCTTTGACGCAAATCTTCCAGCGACGCTGGCTGTGTTTTATAGATTTTACTTTTTAGGTATCCCCACAAAAAGAAATCAAGGGGCGATAAATCCGGTGATCGTGTAGGCCACTCAATGCTGCCTCTTCTCCCAGTCCAATTCCGAAAAAAAACGTTGGTTCAAATACTGACGGACAATTAACGCATAATGCGGAGGATCACCGTCCTGTTGAAAAATCAAATGATCTTCATCATACTCTGGAACATTTTTAATAATATCAGACACGGTGACCCTGCCATAGCGTCTTCCAGTAATTGCAAATATATTTGGCCAGTCAAATTACCAGGTAGAAAAAAAGGACCTACCAGCCGGTCACCGAAAATCTCAGCCCATACATTTAAGTTTTCCGGGTGCTGTGTATGCACTTCGTGAAAAACTCTTGGGTTTGAATCGGACCAATAGCAATTGTGACGATTTACCGTACCGTTCAAGAAAAAAGTGCATTCATCAGAAAAACAGATGTTAAGAAGGAACTGTGGATCGTTCCCTGCTCACTCACTTATTATTTCGCAAAATTGCAAACAGCAGTCATAATCATCCTCATGAAGTTCCTGGACTAAATGTATTTTGTATGGATGGAATTTATTCTTCTTCAAAATGGTTTGTATGCTAGTTCGATTGATCCCAGACACAGATGCCAGCTGCC